ACGAAAAAATGTACGAATAAAACACGAAAAGAAAACGAATAAAGAAACCAAAAAATAAAACGAAAAATAACCAGGAAAAAAAAAGAAAAATAACCAAAAAAAAAAAACAAAAAAAAAACGATAAACCAAACAGTCAATCAATCAAATCTATCAGTCATGCAATCAATCAAGATCTCGATCTTGATTGATTGACTGATATAGTGATTGATTGATTGATTGATTGATTGATTGTGTGTGTGTGTGTGTGTGTGTGTGTGTGTGTGTGTGTGTGTGTGAGAGAGAGAGAGAGAGAGAGAGAGAGCATCAAACTGGCCACTTCGATGCTCTCTCCCTCTCTCTCTCTCTCAGGCACACACCCGAAGAAGAAGAACAAAAAGAAGAATAATAATAAGAAGAAGATGAAGAAAAAGAAGAAAAAGATGATTAAAAAAAAAAAAAAAAACCTTTTTCTTCGGATCCACGGACGCGGCCGCCCTCCTCGTCCTCGTCCTCGTCCTCGGCTTGCGGCCCGGCGGCCGAGTCCGTCCAGCAGGCTACCAGCTCTCTCTCTCTCTCTCTCTCTCTCTCTCTCTCTCTCTCTCTCTCTCTCTCTCTCTCTCTCTCTCTCTGTTTGCTTGTTGGCATCAACATGAGCAACACATTTTGTGTTGCCGTACAGGAGTAATCACACATTTATCTCCTGCGGCAACACAAATTCTGTTGCTCATTCTCCCTGGTTGTGGTGGTCCACCACCACCCACACCACAGCAACCCCAGCCTGGCCCCTTTTTTAATTGATTTTTTTTTTTTTTTTGCATCTTCGTTTTTTTTAAACACCTAATTTCCCACCAAAAAATCGAAATTCATTTTTGAAAAAAAAATACAGCACAACTCACGGACCATATCCCTCATGATAAAAAATGAAAAAAACAAATTCTTGCTGTTCTTTTTCTTTTTCTTTTTATATTTTGTTTCAATCGAATTTCGTTTTTCATTTTTTAAAAATCGTAAACGAAGTTGAATTCAAAAATAAAAATCATAGCATTGTAGGGTTTTTCAACCCCTACAGCCCTATATATCGTCAAATAGAACTGCCCGGTAAACCGTAGGCAGAGAGGGAGAAGAGGACAACAAACGAGGGGCTGTGACAAACTGTTTCGGCGGAGTTTCACCGACTCATCATATATCGTCAAATAGATATATATATATATATATATATATATCGTCACAAACAGAACTGCCCGGTAAAACCATAGGCAGAGAGAGAGAAGAGGACAACAAACGAGGGGGCTATATAACGAGGGGCTATTTGACGATATATATATTACCGGGCAGTT